CTGATGCCAAGTCTGGGCGGTGACGGTGGAGTAGCTGCTTGATGCTCCCTTATCCACCCACCCACCTACCAGGGCGCTGCTGCTTGGGTGAAGAAGCCTCCCCTGCCTGACTTTGGGAAGGAGACAGCAGGCCTCCAGGATCCTGTCAGAGCATTGTGCCTCCTTGTCCTAAGCTGGACAAATGCTTCCGAGAGCCCTCATGCCACCTCCCCCCCCCAAAAAAGGTGGCAGTACTACGTACTGTTACGTACAGCTAGAATGAAAGGACTGAATATACTGTTTTGACATGTTATCTCTTGTTTTCGGGGGGGAAAGGATCCAAATTTAGGATTGCAAAAAATCGCTAAATTCTTCAGTTTTTCCGTGAATGAAGAAGAAATTAAAAGTGTTGTAGAAAATTGCAGTTTCAAAGCTATGAAGCAAAAATCCACTGAAACTCATGGAACATTTGGAGATGTTCTTTTCCGCAAAGGTAAATTTCTTGGGTGGGGTGGGGTTGATAAGGTTATTCACCAATAGTTGCCTGCTAAGTGATCACAACTATCTACAGTTACTTATCAAGTTATTTTTTGCGTAAGCTTCTTAAAGGTAGGGATGCCACAAAGGGTTTAATTTTCAGTCCAGACCTGTGATTTCAAGGCATCCAAGTTCTTCTTCTGGTTTTTTATTTATCATTCAAGAACACAGGGTATGGGAATAGGAATCTGTATTTGATTCTATAAAATCAGCCCAGAGGTTGTTGAGGTTTGTGATGGAGAAAAAGCTCCCATCACCATGTCTCTGGTATCAACATGCAGCATCCTTGCTGATGCCCCATTGGGACCCCCTTCTAATGCCTGCTCTGGACTCTCCTGTCCACATATTTTCCTCCCCAGTAGTTGACAGCACTGAGCAACTGGGAGCCACCACTTAGATTTCCCACAATGATTTGATTCTGCCCCCTGTTTCCAAGAGCTAAGAGGGCACCAATGTTATATGGGGGACTTGGCATGGGAGGGATCCATCAGAAGGAACTATACCAAGGTCCCTCTCACACCATCAGGCAGTCCTGTCTTTTGTGTCTCCTACTTTGGTGTCAGAAGTGGATAAATTGGATAATACATTTTAAAAGAGAAACAGGTGGTGATTTTTCAAATATCACTTGGACATACATCCCACAAGAGATGGTTGGAGAGTGTGGAATAGGATGCCCATGAGTCCTTCTTTACAGAAGACAGTGATCTATTTTTAAGAGCTGTTTCTAGTCGTTCTCTAGCTAAAGGTGTCCTCTGTTTGAGGGCTGTCCAGTCCAAGGTTTGTTTAAAGAGCACACAAGTCACTTGGTGTATTCCCCAATCTGGTGATATGTATTTTTATTTAAATGTATGCAAATCCACTTTTTTTGACATTGCATAACTGTCTACCCTATTGTCAAGCGAGAACCAATGCACTGACCTCTTTTAAAGTTAATTGTGACTTAGTAGTAATTAACAGCTCCTGTGTGAGAGACTTATGCACGGTGAGTGCATGTTTCATCTGTAAATACTAACAGCAGCTGTGTGATGTGTGGCTGAGGAGCAAAACGATTATGGTTCCTTTCTGTCAAGGTCAGTTACCTCCTTTAGCCAACAAATTCCAAAGGAGTCAATAGGAGCAGCAGGCTCAGTGGAACAGAGGTGAAGCAACAGCCTTCCAACAGTGGAGCCACTGCTGCTTTGGAGGGGAAGGGAAGGCTAAGCAAGTCACAAGGGTGGGGCTGCACAGGAGCAAGAGCAGAACACCTATTGCTGCCATCACACAGTATTGACTTCATTGCTGTCTTGGCTTTCCCTTTCCCTTTCCAGCAAGTGGCCGTGACACTGCAAATCCACCCCACTGAAGAGACCCCAGTTTAATAAAATACCTTCTGAATATATGTTAAAACTAGTCATTTATCTTAAATGTTTGCAGGATCTGTCGGTGACTGGAAAAGCCTTTTCTCTGAATCTCAGAGCCAAGAAGTGGACAGAAGATTTAAAGAGTGTTTAGCCGAAAGCAAACTCGGAGCAAAGATGAAGTATGAGGTTTACTGCAAGAGCTGATGACGCAACCTAGATTCGAAGGGCTGCCTGACTCCTCCATGCTCTCCTGAAATACAATTAGCTTTGTCTCTTTCTGTGTACCTGTACAGAACATTGAGGAAGCCATAATGTTTCTTGCAATTCCAGCAGTTTTGATATTTAAGCAGGTTGACCTGATTAAATAATGGATGCTTGAGGAATTTGTTCTTTGTGGATCTTAATTAAAACTGACTTGATCTCTGCGCATGGACTATTGTATAAAAATTGGTTATCCTTCAGATTTCGCATTTAACTGAATTTTGCAAAGCAGCTTCCCAGTTGAAACTGTGAGGTGAGCATGTGGAATCCATGTTGCAGCTCCAGTGATGTAGCATGGCTCCTGACAGCCCTGCTTCTGTATGTCATGTTCCTCCAGGGGTTCATCACTTGCAGTGGGCAATCTTCTTCCTCTCTAGGGGCACCCCACCTGTGGTACTAGTCCAGCATGGTCCACTCAACTCTACTGAAAAAATTCTTGCTCTGTAGCTCCAAGTAGGGCTAGGTGGGCCTCAAGTTGCTATACCTTCTCTTCCAGCAAGGCAACCAGTTTCCAGTTGCCACAAGTGTACTTTTGCATGTTCTCCGGGAGGAAGACAAACATGGCACAGGTGTTGCATGTCTCTGCAGCAGCTTCCTCACCTCTCATTTCTCTTGGTTCTATGCATACCGTGAGACAGCACCAAGGGCCTTCCATGCCCAACACCCTCACAAATTCCCCTGTTTACGAGTCCTGGTCACAAGCTCTGGTCATAAGCTCCCAGAAGCTGCAGTCAGCTCAGTTTAATTGGTGCTAACTCCTTCCCCAACTCACTTCCTCATTCGCAGAGCCTGAGGTGCTAAACTTTGAAGGGTGGCATTTAGTCTCAGAATGCCAAGATAAGGCATTTAAAGCAAAGCTTTTACGTAAGGGTGTGGCCACAGTAGTTCATAGTATCTTCTTGTAGAATGCTGTTGTAAAATAACACTATTTTACAAACCATTGAAGTGGTGGTCTAAAATCATTTATGTGCACTGCTATAATTTCAATCAATGGATATATACATGGTATTATGGCTCCTGTACGACTTACTGACACTTTTCATTGTTTACCACACTTACTAATTGTTTTGGGACCGAAACGGCTCTGGTTGCCCTAACAGATGATCTCCGTAGACAACTGGATCGAGGCGGGTCAGGACTGCTGATCCTTTTAGATTTGTCAGCAGCCTTTGACATGGTCGATCATGATCTTCTGGACCACTGCCTCGCAGACATGGGGATACAGGGCATAGCCCATAACTGGCTGTGCTCTTTTATCTCTGGTCGGGGACAGAGGGTGACGCTAGGGAGGGAAATGTCGTTGCGCCATTCCTTGGTGTGTGGAGTGCCGCAGGGCACTATCCTCTCCTCGATGCTTTTTAACATCTTTATTGCCCAGATTACCCCAGATTATCCGGAGCTTTGGGCTGGGCTGTCACCAATATGCTGATGACACTCAGCCCCGGAACACACTGACCAGATGCTTGGAAGCTGTAGCGGGATGGTTTCGTGGGAGCCGATTGAAACTAAATTCTTCGAAGACAGAGGTCCTCTGGCTGGGTCAGGATGGCATGGGGATGAGGGACCAACTCCCTTCTCTTGCGGGGGCCCAATTAGTGCCATTGCCTTCCATTAAGAGTTTGGGTGTAATCCTTGATGCCTCGCTTTCCATGGAGCCGCAGGTTACAGCAACAGCCAAGGCGACATTAGTCCACCTTTGCCGCATCAAGCAATTGGTCCCTTACCTTTCCCGCCCCGACCTGGCCACAGTGATCCATGCGATGGTCACTTCCAGGCTTGACTACTGTAATTCGCTCTACGCAGGGCTGCCCTTGAAGCTGTCCCAGAAACTCCAGCGGGTGCAGAATGCTGCAGCGAGGCTCCTCACGGGCTCTCTGCCATGGGAGCATATTCACCCAGTGCTTTTCAAGCTGCACTGGCTCCCAGTGAAGTACAGGGTCAGATTTAAGGTGCTGCTTTTGACCTTTAAAGCCCTTCACGTACCTACGGGACCGCCTCTCCCGGTATGCCCCACGGAGAGCCTCAAGGTCCATAAATAGCAACACCCTAGTGGTCCCGGGCCCTAAGGAAGTTAGATTGGCTTCAACCAGAGCCAGGGCCTTTTCAACTCTGGCTCCGGCCTGGTGGAATGCTCTGCCTCACGAGACCAGGGCCCTGCAGGATCTGATTTCTTTCCGCATGGCCTGTAAGACAGAGTTGTTCCGCCTGGCCTTTGGCTTGGAACCAATTTGATTCCCTCCCTCCCTCTCTTTCTTTTTTCTTTTCCTTCTCCTCCTTCAATGAGGCATTTTAATGAGGCATTTTAATATTTTAATGTTTCAATATTTTAATGTTGTATTTTAATTTTGTTTTAAGTTGTAATCGTTCAACTTGTTTTTATTATTGCTTGTTAGCCGCCCTGAGCCCGGCCTTGGCTGGGGAGGGCGGGGTATAAATAATTAATAATAATAATAATAATAATAATAATAATAATAATAATAATAATAATTATTATTATTATTAATGAGTCTCTCTCGCCTGCTTCACACACACAATGCCTGTTTTCTGAATACACTAAACCAATTTCTGTGAGAACCTGATGCTAGGTAAGATGGCTTTTGAACTGATCCAGCAAAACTATTCTTGATGCTGATGACTTCTGAAAGAATCAGAAGCCCAACTGTCAAGGACAGCTGTGAACATGGAATGGGAAATGTAAGGCTAGAGGTACTTTACAGGCATCTTGGTTAAACAGTAACTTTACACTGTGAACTTCATCACCAGATATGAATCGTAATCTTGGTAATATATTAACTTTTTCTGATCAACATAAGTATTAATCTGTTCAGGCAGAATAGCTCAAATCTCAGTCTTCATCAAGTGTCCATCCCATCAGATACAAAGATGAACATGAACAGGAAACGTGTTGAAATTCTGGACAAGTTGATGGCTGATGGTGAGAAGCTAGCTCCAGAAGATAAGCTATTTACCTATAAAGGGATTTTGTATCCTCTTGCTGTTTGCAAGCTAGAAAATTTCCAAGCTCTTGAAACCTTTGAAGCCAGAACGGATGATGTGATCCTGGTAGGATATCCTAAAACAGGTGAGTAGCCATCTTTTCCACCTAAACAAAAATGTCTTATGAAAGGCAGTATATGAAGAACATAACCATACATGGAAGATATTCTGTATAAAAAACAAATTACATAGGTGCAGTTACATATAGCCAAGGAATCTAAACAGCCCAACGATGATGAGGAAAGAGTCACAGGAGGAGTACTTATATGACTCTCCCTACGGTGGTACCTCAGGTTAAGTACTTAATTCATTCTGGAGGTCTGTACTTAACCTGAAACTGTTCTTAACCTGAAGCACCACTTTAGCTAATGGGGCCTCCCGCTGCTGCCACGCCGCCGGAGCACGATTTCTGTTCTCATCCTGAAGCAAAGTGCTTAACCTGAAGCACTATTTCTGGGTTAACAGAGTCTGTAACCTGAAGCGTATGTAACCTGAAGTGTATGTAACCCGAGGTACCACTGTATTTATATACTAAAAAATGGAGAACTATCTGATTTGGCTTCACCTCCAGACTACACATTCATGTCTGACCATTAATAATTTCATTACTGTCAGGAGGCAGAGGAACCAACCCCCGTGGCAGGTTTCCAGGAATGGATAAGACAAGGAAAAGTTCTTACCACCTGCCTTTTATTCAACATTTACAGAGAGAGGCTTGGAAACGCAGCCTCTTGGAATGATGGCATTGCCCCGAGTAAATCTCTCCTCCCCTTCTCTCCCACTTCCTCATTCGTCATCTATTCTACGGGTGGTGCTGAGGGCTCTTTGCTTCTGAGCCCTCCGCTCTCCTACTTTCAAGGCTCACCAGGTTCTGGGAGGGGGGGGGTCTGGAATGCTTTCTAAAGTCACATGTGGCATAGATTCCCATCCTTATGGTTACATCTCCAGTACTCACTACTGGGTTTTTTTTGTTCATTTTCGCCAATTTTCGCCAATATACATCATTTTTAAAAAAGTTTTCTTTATTTAAATAGCAGGCTGAAAATTTGATATCATATTTCCAAAGATTTTCCCATTTCTCCAATTCTATTGTATATCTGAAGTCTTGGGCCCATTTTGCCATTACATCCTTACATCCTTAACAATTTCGTCTTTTAAATGCCAATTTAATCATAACTTATACATTTTGGATAAATTCTTTATTTGAGGACAGTGTCCTTGAGCATCAGGGATTTCCACGAGCAAGTTATTAAAAAGAAGCATGAAGCACATACCCCAGACATTTTGCATCTCATTCAGGTACAAACTGGCTTGAAACCATGCTACGTGACTTGGAATTCAGGGCTGGGAAATATACAGAAGAGGAATATAAAAGAAGAATGGCAATTGAAGAGGAATTGGCAGTGCCTCCACGTCTTGAGTTTGAGGATCTAGACGCCATCAAGGTTAGTTCATCAGCAATCAGACCATCACTGACATTAATTAGTCTCTGAAAAGCAGACAGATAGTGTTCATTGTCTAGGAGAACCACTCTTTTAAAAAATGAGTTTAGGAAGCATCAGACCTCCTTGAATGGCGTGCAGATCTTTGTCACCCAAGGAGCAGACATTTGGATTCCTGTGCTAGAGGGAAATAACACTGGCCTTTCTCCATACATGATGAGCTCATGTCAACCAACAGCACACACTCTTTCCAATCAATTGGGTGTTCAACTTATCTGTTCAACTTACTGCAGAGCCACACCACACATTTAACTTCCCTCAAAGAATCCTGAAAACTATAGTTTGTTACAGTTGGGAACTGTTTGTTTGCTGGGAATTGTAGCTCTGTGACCTCTGTTACAAATGCACCTTGAACATACTTTAAATGTACAGTGGGGGTCTGCCTTAATGCTTTCCCCAGCACATTTTGGTTTTGGGGAAAACCTTTCATGGAGATTTTGCTTATATTTGTGTGTATGTGTGTGTGGGGGTGAATTGCATCACTCTGGGGTGAGGAGAGTAATATTTTGATGAGGTGGCCAGTTTCTGTCTTCTCCCCTATTTTTAACTACAGTCATACCTCAGGATAAATATGCTTCAGGTTGAGCGCTTTCGGGTTGCGCTCCGCGGTGCACCGGAAGTAACGGAGCATGTTACTTCCGGGTTTCGCCACTCGTGGATGTGCAGACGGTCAAAATTCGCATCCTGAGGTACCACTGTATAAGAAGCTGCGGCTTGGTAGCAGTTGTCAGGTGATTATGTAGCATCATCCTGAGGGGCACAGATGGCCAAGCCAAAGTATTCATGGCCTGATGGACACAGTGTCTCTGAGGCAAGTTTATTTATGTATGAAACGTCAATTCATGGTACAGTCGCATGTATTCCCATCTCTGACTGTTATTCTTTTTAGCCTAAAAGTAGATTGAAGACATGGGGGATAATAATAACATGTACCAGGGAGGTACAACCTCACCTGAAGTCATGGAAGAGGGTTTGCAATTTTTGTTTGGTTTAGACTGGAGATGCATTTTCCCCCTGCAGATGTTGATTTCACTGTGTCGTTTGTATTAACAGCAGCACGAATAAACTGTTATGTAAGCTGAGAAATCTGCCAGTTCCAGAAATCTAGCTCATCATTGTGTTTCTTTTTCCTTTTTCCTGGTCAGTTGGCAGTTTATCCATCATTCTTTAAGACCAGGTTTTTTAAAAAATAACTGTAAAATACTGATAACTGTGCACAAAATCAAAGAGTTGTAATTACATGACACGTATTCAAAAAATGTCTCCTAGAACAGTGGTAGCTGTGCTTGAAAATCAGAATTGGGAAGAGCGCTTTGTGTGTTATGTAGACATATAGGAACCAAGCAGGCTAGGGATTAAATAAATAAAATAAAAATAGATCTAGTGAAAAATCTGAAAGGAAATGTTTCCATTGCAATCCATACAACAATGTAATGAAGAAATGAACTGATTAAATTCAAAATTGACCACAGTGTTTATTTCCTATCTTATTTAAGAGGATGACGAAATTACCTTCCAGAAGGATCATAGTAACTCATCTCCCTCCCCATTTACTACCCAAATCTATTTTCAAAAGTAAAGCCAAGGTGAGTACATGCATCTTACAGTCTTTCAGCTAAGACTGCATTACTACAGCATTCACTTAAATGTTATTTGAGAGCATTAAGAGCACAATCTTAAAGCGTGATTTATATCTTTGTGTTTCAGATACTGGTGCTGACTCGGAATCCCAAAGATACAGTGGTGTCTTATTTTCATTTCAACAATAATTTTCCTGGCTTTCCTAATGCAACATGGGATGCATATTTCACAGATTTTATGAATGGACAAGGTATCCTTTTTATTTTACAGCAAATGTCAAAAATAATATATGCAAGAGTAGTTCATGGTATGGGAAGAGGTTCTGGATCCAGCACCCCATTTTGATATCTAGGTGGAAGCAGAAGCCTAGAGCATGTACTGTCCATTTTGGTTAATATGCCAGCTTCATCCTTTCCCAGAGACTTAGGACCTAGACACAGTCAAGAATGCTATGGAAGGAAGGGAGCCAACTTGAATAAAATATCGGGAGGGGCAGGTAAGCCCTGCCCCGCATAATCAATCTCAGGATGTAGCACACAGACACAATTTGAATGGAAATGTCCATCAACTTTGGGTGGGAACTCAAATATTTTATGGGGGGAGGGTGAAGTATATTAAAATACAATAATTCATCAAATACAAAAAGCGTTCATCAAATACAAAAAGCATCAAATACAAACAGGGCTGCCTTCAGAGGTCTTCTAAAAATCAGATAGTTGTTTATTTCTTTGACATCTGATGGGAGGGTGTTCCACAGGGTGGGCGCCACTACCAAGAAAGCCCTCTGCCTGATTCCCTGTAACTTCACTTCTCGAAGGGCCTCGGCGCTGGACCTCAGTATCCAGACCTAGACCTACATGAGCTGCGCTGTTTGCCAGTACGTATCTAAGCTAATTTCAATGTGCTGGTTTCAACCTTTAAAATCCTATATTGTCAGGGCGGGTATCTGGAGCAGGTCAGCAATGACTCACAATGTGTTGGTGAAGATAACTCTTTATTCAAAGAGACAAAACAGCTCAGGTCTAGTGAGCACAGCAACTCCTCCCATTAGATCTTGCCCCAATGAGGCAGTTGCAAGGACTAAAGGTCCCCCCGCCTTCCCGCAGCTGCCTAAGACTACTCCTCCCCCAATTCCTTTCCGAGCAATCTGAGGCTCTATCACCTTGCCTGCCTCTACTCTGCCCTCTTCATACCACTGTGGGTTCTGGGAGACCAGGGGGGGGTACCTAGTTGCAGCAGGAGGGGAGACCCCCTGGATTCTTCAGCAGCCTGCCTGATCTTTGCCTCTTGACGCCTCTCCTCTCCAGTCTCCACTTCTGCCTCTGATTCTGGACTGCTCTCTGCCCCAGCCTCTTCCTGCTCACTAAACCCTTTCCCCTCTTCAGCTTCCGACACCCCCTCTTCCCAGCCTGCTCCCTCTTCTCCCTCTGACAACTCATCATTGTCCCACCACCAATCCCCTGGCTCTGAGCTATCATCACTTGGAAACCATCACTCCCTTGGGAACCAGCTGGTGCCTCCCACCACTCCTGTGCATCCAGCCAGTCCATGACAGCCACGCATATATATGCCTTCTTAAAACATCCATGTCCACATGAATGGGAATGCCAGTCCAATGAGAGTTCCCACATGTGTGTATGCTGGTGAGTTCATGTGTGTATGCTAACAGTGAGCTTAAAGTTCTCAGATAGTTTTTGCGTTAAGGATCTAAGGTGTATGTGTGAATTCTAGGGGGCTCTGGGCATGGAAGAAACAGGGATGATGGCACAAAAATGGTGAAGATGTTTTGGCGAGCTTACTCTGGTAGGGTACTGGTGGGTCACACATTCTTTCCATTCAGAATGACATAAAATGCTGTGTCTGGATTTGGGAGAAAAGTTGAAAAATAAAGCCACTAGCTTCTGTGCACCAAAAGGAAACCGCTAAGAACCTCTTAAACCCCCACACAAAAAGGAAAAACTGATGAAATGCTCCTCTAGTTTATATGGTTTCTACTTCAATGTGTTTGTTGTGGAAAACAGTGCTGCTTCCCCCAGCAATTCTAATTTGTATAGCTGAATTTGCTTATAATGATAAGCTTTAAAATGTTGATATCATGCAGCTTTCTTCTCCTTTTTATCCAGTGTGTTGGGGCTCCTACTTTGACCATGTCTCAGAATGGGACAAGTACATTGATGATGAAAATGTCATGGGCATATGTTACGAAGAACTTAAGGAGGTGAGGTTAACATTAGCCCCAGGGATATCAAAACTAGGTTTCTTTGTGAATTGCTGTCGAAGAGATAAATGCACAAGGACACTTTATAGGTGAATGTCCTGTCTGTGATGAGTGCACACAGACTGTTAGGATCGTCCTACTCTCGTGTAGGACCCTGGTAGAGACACATGCCTGACTGGCATGTTCTCTCCATCCTGCTCTGTCGTTTGGGAGCTTCCAAAGCTTTCTTCAGCCCGAACACCACAGCGACTGATACCAAGAAGCATCAGCACACTTAGGGATCCACAGAGTATTCGCAGCCAAAACATTCTGTCTCCGTCACTTCCCACTCTGTGGAATGAAAACATACACCATCATGTGATAGGCAACAATCCCATGACTCCAAACATGGATCAGGAATCTGAACACGGACATGTCATTACATGTCTGACTGTTTTCTGAAATGCTCATAACACAGATGTTGTGTAGGCTTGTGGCTGGCAGCTAAGCCAAAGAGATGGTTTCTTCTGGCCAGAGTTTTGAAAGCAAAAGCATGTATTAGGCTAGAATACCTCTCAACGGATACCTAGGTCACTCTACACCTATCACTATTACAAGGCCAGGAGGAAGCAGGGCTGATACCACAGCTGAAGAACCCAATTGAGTGAAAACAAAAAAAATTCCTTCCAGTAGCACCTTAAAGACCAACTAAGTTAGTTCTTGGTATGAGCTTTCGTGTGCATGCACACTTCTTCAGATACCTGGTATCTGATACAGGTATCTGAAGAAGTGTGCATGCACATGAAAGCTCATACCAAGAACTAACTTAGTTGGTCTTTAAGGTGCTACTGGAAGGAATTTTTGTTTTGTTTTGACTATGGCAGACCAACACGGCTACCTATCTGTAACTGGAACCAATTGAGTGACTTTCTTTTTATATGACATTGGTCTCCACCTTCAGTGTAGAGTTAAAACATCATTTTTTAAAAATATTTTAAAGTAATGTTATTTAAATATATAACAAAAAGAAAGGGAAAAAATATTGCCAGCTGACATACAAAAATAATAATCCATCAATCCTAATTTAAACATATAGCTTCATATGTCCATATGCCTAAATAGGTATTTAAATGAGATTGACAAAAGGGTAGTGAAATCTTTGGACTACTGAGTAGTAGATAATGTTGGGTTAATTTAACAGACACATTACTTTTGCTCCACTATAGATGTAATGTTTTTGACATATGCAATATGCTTTCTCTTGTTTATGAAAAAACAAAAGGATCTACATTCAGGATTGCAAAAAATAGCTAAATTCTTTGGGTTTTCCCTGACTGAAGAAGAAATTAAAAGTGTTGCCGAAAAAGGCAGTTTCAAAGCTATGAAGCAGAAATCTGCTGAAACTCATGGAGCATTTGGAGATGTTCTTTTCCGCAAAGGTAAATTTCTAGGGTGGGGTGGGGTTGATAAGGTTATTCACCAATAGTTGCCTGCTAAGTGATCACAACTATGTATAGTTACTTATCAAGTTATTTTTTGCGTAACCTTCTTAAAGGTAGGGATGCCACAAAGGGTTTAATTTTCAGTCCAGACCTGTGATTTCAAGGCAAGTTATCATTCTGTGTTATCATTCAAGAACACAGGGTAAAGGAATAGGAATCCATGGTTGATTGAATAAAATCAGCCCAGAAGTTGTTGAGGTTTGTGATGGAGAAAAAGCTCCCATCACCATGTCTCTGGTATCAACATGCAGTATCCTGGGGAACTTGCTGATGCCCCATTGGGACCCCCTTCTAATGCCTGCTCTGGACTCTCCTGTCCATATATTTTTTCCCCAGTAGTGGACAGCACAAAGCAACTGGGAGCCACCACTTAGATTTCCCACAATGATTTGATTCTGTCCCCTGTTTCCAAGAGTTAAACGGGCACCAATGTTATATGGGGGACTTGGCATGGGAGGGATCCATCAGAAGGAACTATACCAAGGTCCCTCTCACACCATCAGGCAGTCCTGTCTTTTGTGTCTCCTACTTTGGTGTCAGAAGTGGATAAATTGGATAATACATTTTAAAAGAGAAACAGGTGGTGATTTTTCAAATATCACTTAGACATACATCCCACAAGAGATGGTTGGAGAGTGTGGAATAGGATGTCCCTGAGTCCTACCTTACAGAAGACAGTGATCTATTTTTAAGAGCTGTTCCTAGCCGTTCTCTAGCTAAAGGTGTCCTCTGATTGAGGGCTGTCCAGTCCAAGGTTGGCAAGTCACTTGGGTATTCCTCAATCTGGTGAGATGTATTTCTATTCAAATGTATGCAAATCCACTTTTTTGACATTGCATAATTGTCTACCTTATTGTGAAGCGAGAACCAACCACTATCCTCTTTTGAAGTTAAATTTGACTTAGTTGCAATGAAAAGTTCCTTTGTAAAAGACTGCCATCACACTGTCATAATTTTGCTGCTGTCTTGGCCATCTGCTCCTGTTTCAAGCAAGTCGCAGTGACACTGAGTCTGGGAAGCCATTGCTGCAAATCTACCCCACTGAAGAGACTCCAGCTTAATAAAATACCTTCTGAATATATGTTACAACTATTCATTTATCTGAAACATTTGCAGGATCTGTTGGTGACTGGAAAAGCCTGTTCTCAGAATCTCAGAACCAAGAAATGGACAGAAGGTTTGAAGAGTGTTTAGCCAAAAGCAAACTAGGAGCAAAGATGAAGTATGAGGTTTACTGCAAGATCTGAGGAGGCAACCTATATTCGAAGGGCTGCCTGCCTCCTGCATTGTCTCTTGGAATACAATTAGCTTTGTCACTTTCAACAACAACAACAACAACAACAACATATTTATACCCCCACCCTGCCTGGCTGGGTTTCCCCAGCCACTCTGTGTATCAATACATTGATGGAGGCATAATGTTTCCTGTGTCTTGCAATTTCAGCAGTTTTGATATTTAAGTAGGGTGGCCTGTTTAAATTATGGATGCTTGAGGAATTTTTTCTTTGTGGATCTTAATTCAAACTGACTTGATCTCTGCTCACGGACTATTATATGAATCAGAACATAGTTATCCTTCAGATTTTGCTTTTCCCTGAACATTGCAAAGCAGCTTCCAGTTGAAACTATGTTTTATAATGTGTCAGGGACTGGGCAGAGGAGGAATAGTGGAGAGACCGCCTCCCCAGCCTGACCCTTCCAGAGAAGAGGAAGACAGTTCAGAATTACAGCAGGGGTTTGAGGAACGTCACAGCTCAGAGGCAGATGAGGGGGAAAGCTGGGAAATAATGGGAGAGGAGGAGGAGGAGGAGGAGGAGGAGGAGGAGGCAACAGCACCAGGGGAGCAACAGCTGACGGACTCAGTTTCTTTAGAAAGCATTCCGGATCCCCCCTCCCAGAATCCGGTGAAACTTGAAAGTAGGAGAGCAAAGAGCTCAAAGGCAGAGGGCACTTTTCAGCACCTGAAGGAGAGACTATGAGATTGACAAATGAGGAAGTGGGAGAGACGGAGGGGGTGGAGATTCACTCGGGATGATGCCATTATTCCAAAAGGCTACATTCCCAAGCCTCTCTGTGTGAATATTTAATAAAAGCAGATGTAAAGGACTTTTCCTTGTCTTGTCCGTTCCTGGCAACCTGCTGTGGGGGTTGGTTTCTCTGCTGCCTGACAGAATGCACATGTTAAGAAGAAATACAATGTATATTTTAAGAGGTCTTCCCCTCACACCCTCCCTTTAGGCAAGCTGTTTGGGAAGTTCATTTGTGGCACAGGCATAAAGCCGCATATTGCTTTTTCTAAATTAAGCTCACAGTCGCACAAAGAAAATCTACTCTCCCCAATTTATGTATTCCAAAGCGTACTTGATTTCCCAGGCTATGTTCTGGAGATCAGAATTAGACTCTAATGCACCTGAATGGGCCAGGATAGATACTGATGATCTAGTGCCATTTCAATATAGATAATGCTAAATGAACCTTCTGTATCAGGCCAAGGGCCTCTCTAATCCATCATTCTGTTCTCACCTTGGACAACCAGTTGCAGCAGTCACTTACTCTGGAATTGCTCGATAGTTGCACCCTTTTGGAAAGAAGCTCTGACAAGGATGAAGATGACTTAAAAAACTTCTGTTACCCTGGGAGACATACAAGCTTTGTACATTCCAGATCTATCAGGGGCCAGAATTGAAGGTGTAGTTTAAAAAGGCCACATTAGTTGTGAAATAAACCACAACGCAGAACTGGAAAGCAATTGGAAGCTCATCCATCTGTCTTGGGAGACAACTGAAGGGTGCACTTTCAGGGTTAAAGTCAAACCATTGGAGAGTGACAGCGTTTTCTGTGGCTGTAGAGACCGATATGGAGAAGAGATGTTTTGTTGCAGGTTGGGCAGATGAAGGCGTCAAGTTTTGCTGCTACAGGTGCACCATAATAATAATAATAATAATAATAATAATAATAATAATAATAATTCCCTGTAACCTCACTTCTCACAGGGAGGGAACCGCCAGAAGGCCCTCAGAGCTGGATCTCAGTGGGGGGGGGGGCAGAATGGTGGGGGTGGAGACGCTCCTTCAGATATACTGTTTTAAAGTATATAAAGGGTTTTAAAGTATGGTTACCAGATTTTTTTGCAATGAATCCGGGGACACTTTTTTTTTTTTAACTGAGTAGCAACAGGGAGTCAGTAGTGGGGATGGTGAAGCAAAAGACCCTGGGCCCAAGCACACATGCATATTGTATAAAGGTGCAAAGCCCTTCTTTCACACCCTGCGATACATAAATGTGCAGAGTTCTTTTTTAAAAAACTGGGCAATGGCGCACCACCCACCTGTGACTCCTGAGCCTTCCCCAATCTCCTTCCCCCTTCATTTTGACAGATCAGGGGAGGCTCGGGAGTCATGGGTGGGCAGTCGTTTCCCAGGAGGGGCCAGCCTGGTAGTGCAGTTGGCTCTGGCTGGCTTCAGGAGCTGCTCACTGCTGTGGCACAGGAAAAATGGCAGGCGCCACGGCAGCGAGCAGCTCCTGGAGCCAGCTAGAGCCAACTGCGCTAACAGGCTGGCTCTGGGCTGCTGAGGCCGCCACTGTCATGCTTGCAGGGACATATTTGCAAATCCGGGGATGTCTGGTAACCCTATTTTAAAGGTCATCACTAACACTTTGAATTGTGCTCGGAAATGTACTGGGAGCCAACGTAGGTCTTTCAGCACCAGTGTTAGGTGGTCTTGGCAGCCACTTCCAGTCACCAGTCTAGCTGCCACATTCTGGATTAGTTGTAGTTTCCGGGTCACCTTCAAAGCCCCACACAGAGCGCATTGCAGTAGTCCAAGCGAGAGATAACCAGAGCATGCACCACTCTGGCGAGACAGTCCATGGGGCAGGTAGGGTCTCACCATGGTGTTTCCCCTCTCTGTGCTCCTTCTAATGGTCATTTCACTTCTGGCCAGGTTGCGAAAAAAAGGACATAAAATTTAAAAAGAAGACACATTCATAGTAATAGGGCCAGAATTCATAGATTCTGCATGTTGGCCTAGTTTGCCTGACATGGTAAGCCAAATTTACCAGGACAATGCCGACATACAAACTTCCAGGGCGATGCTCACAATGGCTCAGTTCCCTCCTGGTCTTGTCTATTTCCTTAGGAATAAACACATGCAAAAGTGACAAGAACCATGCTGTTTTATTGCCATTATATTTATGTTATTTAATAGATTGTTTAAATTTGTTTATGATTTAATTCTATTAATGCTTTTTTAAAATGATTGCTTTCTGCACTCCCATGTTTTTAGCTGTTGCTATTTTATCAGAAAGCCACCCTGAGTTCCTATCAGGGGAAAATGTGGAGTGTAAATAAATAAATGAAGAAGACGAAGAAGAAGAAAAAGAGAACCAGAAATAAACTGATTAAAATACTTATCTTTTTAAACCCCCCTGGAACCAACAGACTCTTTTCCAGGCCTTCTGGGAGATGCAAGGGAGTGAAAATGGGACATTCTGAATGCAAATCTGTAGTCCAGCATTAAGTTCTGGTCTCTTAATATAACAGTTGCAAACAAGAAACAAATTAAAATAACAACAGAAAAAATATTCAAAAAATCAGTATTGACTCTACACTGACTGTCAGTCCACCAGGGGGAATATAGAATACAATAATAAACAAATCCACCAGGTGTCGCCCTTTTACACTGTATTTGACTAATGGGTGTCCTTTCAAACTTCTTTTTCTGTAAAAGCCAACGAATTAATGATTTGGGTGTTTCATTTTGTTTTAAAGACGCAACCCGTCCCGAAAACTCCAGGGATATGTCTAGAATCTAAAATTAGTCTACCTTTTCCATAGACTGCTAATAGGAAGAGTGAAAACAATTTGAAATAATTTTGACTCCTGTCAAGAATTGCCCAGCATCATACGATGGGCACACAAAGTCTCTATTGCTATTCTGCCAGTGCAATGGAATGCAGCAAAAGGGGAAGAAAACAGAACGGCATTGGTTTTGCTGGAGGGACAGCATTATAGTAATTGGGACAAGGAAGCCCCTTCCACTGCTTTTAGGCAGCGTGCAAATTCACAAGGAAATCAGGGTCTCTCGAAGCCTCTGCAATAAATGCCTTTAAAATGCCCACAGGAATAAATTTGCTCCTTCTGCAATGCTGATTGTGTGTGCAAGTAAGTGTGTTAGATATGGACTAAGCCGTCCCCTTTAAGTTTTTCTCAGTTTCTCATTTTCCCACTTAAATTTTATTCATCATTGTTTCATGCAATTTTTCTTTTAAGTCCTCAAAAACATTCGCCAGCATTTTAGCACTCATAATCACATTTTGGGTTGGGATTTTGCCTAATATACAGATATTTCTGCATGCATTTCTCCCTAGTATTGTGCGTTTTTGTATGTAATTTCCACAAATATATGCATTTTAATGCACGCTTCTCCCTACTGTACACTTTTTCGGGGGGGGGGGGGTATTTGATTGGAGACCCGCATCACAAAATCCTGGGAAGTGTAAATGGGGAAGTATACCATGTGTATTATTTTGGAAAGCATGGGTGAGGTTGGTTCTAATCAGCATGCAGACCAAACTGAATTTCTTCTGTATCTCACACTTGTGTGTGCGAGTAGGTGCATGCGTGTGTTTGTAATCTCAAAATAACTTGGAAAGCTAAGTTCCTCCTGATTAGTCCTATTGTAGTTTTAAAGCACAGCTTGCCACGGTTTGGTGGAGAAAAGAGTGTTCCAAGTTGCTTGGAGGACTGAAGCTGGCAAAAGAGTAATAGACTGATAGGGGGAGGAATGTGGTCTCATGGTAGGAAAAATACCATGTATACATTGGCTGGTACAAATCTGTCATAACTATTTGCATTCTTTATGGGAGCTGAAGATAGAGGGGGGAGAAAATCCCTGGTCACTAGCAGCTCCCTTCTACTGTAATCTGATTTTTTTTTTAATGGACCTCCCAAGGAAGGATTCTTTGTTTTGAAACAAGCCACCCACAATGGGAATTTTTGGCAAATGCTCTGAATACTATGCAGGCAGCTGCTTTGCATTTGGCATTCCCTGCCACCAAGGGCTTCAGCATGTAAAGTGGTTGCAGGATGTGGCTCGTGCCATTCCTTCCACTTTTCAGTCCCTCAATCCCATCTCCAGCCCAGGAGCAGACCTTAGACAAAGGGCACGTATAGGACCAGAACCCACACTCCATCACCTAAGCAGATACATGCAGATACAACCTCACAGCTGTGTGAGTGGAGGAGGAGGAGTGGGGCTTCCTTCAGCTCAGAATAAAGTGAGACCACAGTATCATTCATCTTGCACATGTCAAATATGGTGTCAAGGAACAGCTCCCAGCATCCTGGAAGAAAGCCCTTGCTGGTTTTTTGTTGTTGTTGTTTAGTCGTTTAGTCATGTCCGACTCTTCGTGACCCCATGGACCAAAGCACGCCAGGCACCTCTGTCCTCCACTACCTCCCGCAGTTTGGTCAAACTCATGCTGGTAACCTCGAACACACTATCCAACCATCTCATCCTCTGTCACCCCCTTCTCCTTGTGCCCTCCATCTTTCCCAGCATCAGTGTCTTCTCCAGGGAGTCTTCTCTTCTCATGAGGTGGCCAAAGTACTGGAGCCTCAGCTTCACGATCTGCCCTTCCAGTGAGCACTCAAGGCTGATTTCCTTAAGAATGGATGTGTTTGATCTTCTTGCAGTCCATGGGACTCTCAAGAGTCTTCTCCAGCAC